TGAATTTACAATTTTAATTTTATCTACCTAAAATAACTTCACGTAAACTCTCCACTTTTACAACCTTGATTGTAAAGGTTAAAGGATACCTTATCAAAACATTTAGAGCAAAAATCCAAAACCCATGGTTAATAGAGAAACAGAAAGAACAAGTAACGGAGATCAAGTAGCAAAGCCAATTTGGTTATGGACACCATTTTACTATTTATCACCACACAATTTTGATTTTATCTGTCCAAAAATAACTTCACTATCAATTTTCGATTTTTACACCTTGATTGTAAAGGTTAAAGGATACCTTATCGAAACATTTAGAACAAAATTCCAAAACGCATGGTTAATGGAGAAACAGAAATAACAAGTAACGGAGATAAAGTAGCAAAACCAATTTGGTTACGAACACCATTTTACTATTTATTACTACCCAAGTAATTAGCACCACCACTTTGATAACAGCAATGAATGAGGACCACCAATTCGGTAATACTACTACCATTTTACCATTTATGACCAATTCGGTAAGGTCGGCACGTACGCTATGTATCTATATAAATGTTGGATTCTGCATGTTTTTACCTCGCCCATTATTGCTAGTATAGCTTCCAGACACCCACAATAGCAGCTCTTAACATGCCAAGGCAAATCATAGGTATGGATCTGGAGAAGTGCCCCAATAAGCAAGCCATGGATGCTATTAGGCGGTCTAGTTATTTGCTAAAAGATGTAGCAAACTCGAGGTTGACAGACCCGCCGACCCCTCAAACAGGGGAACCAAGGTTGGCTGAAGCAACGGTGGGAAGGCCTGAAAGTATTGTGAGACCTAGGTTTATTCGTAGGATTGTGGAGGATGAGGAAGATGAGGAGAATGCACTATCTAAAGAGGACCTGCTGGAGAATATGGAGGAGCAAGATTCATTATCAAAGGAGGATGTGCTTGAGGATTTGAAAAAGGATAAGCAGGTTCTATTTGAATGGTTGGGTCTTATTTTAATAATTGTTGCGTTAATCTGTAGCTTTACACTTTCGTACTTGAGAGAACTGAAACCATGGGAAATTGGGTTATGGAAGTGGCTAGTCTTAGCTCTTGTAGTCATATGTGGAAGGCTGTTATCAGCGTGGATTTTTAAGATAGTTATTTT